TGATAACTAGGACCACAAAAATTTCAGTCCAGAAAGTCTGACCTCATCATCTATTCACCTAATCAATACATTATATCATATCTTAAAACAGAATATACTAATTACTACCATTCAGAGGCAACTAGTTAAATAGTTCTCTTGCTCAGTGATGACAACTCATTCAGGTTTGAACATTTATCATGTGGCAGTTTGAGACACTATATTTTATTAAAGTACTTATTGATGATGCAATTTTTATTCAAGGAAGCTGCAATAATTCATGATCATGAGCCAATTCATAAAAATCTTTAGCATGCAGACTTGCTCCAGGATCTAGTTTTTAACTAAGTGACCTCTAAGACATCAATGGCACTGTCATAGGCACTGAAGTATATGAATTATACCTCATGGTCACCAAGATAACTGATAAAAATGTAATTATCATAATCCTAAACACCACTCAGAGCTCTGGGGATTGCACATCTTTGCTTTCAGAGACAACTATTTTGAACTTGTATATAAAAAATACAAGAGGGAATGTAGATTAAATTGAAAATGAAGTATTTTTTATTATCATATTTTTGTATTGGGGGTGCTTTGTGACATTTACAAAAGTGCTCACAATATATCTTAGTCAAATTCACTCCCTCCATCATTCTCCTCTCTCCTCCCCCTCTTTTTAGAGTAGCTTCAACAAGTCTCAGAAAATGAAGTAGCTTATTTAAAAATATCCTCAGAGCAAACTTATTTCCAAAAGTAATGTGTGCTATAAATGGTTAAGATTATAAAGTTAATTTTTGCTATAATCTTAGTGTTGGAAATACACATTCTTCTTTTTCTTTTAGAAGTTTTATAAACTTTTATTGTTAGCACAAATTAATTATACAAAATAGTGGGTCTCATTGTGACATTTTAATACCTGTATATAACATACTTTGATCATATACACCCTCTGTTGTCTTTCTTACACTCCCCTCCCCCAACCCCCTTTCTCTTCTCTAATAGTCCCCCTTCTACTCTAATGTCATTTTTTTCTAGATTCCACATATGAGAGAAAACATGTATTACTTTTTTGAGTCTGGCTTATTTCATTTGACAGGATGATCTCCAGCTTCATCCATTTTTCTGCAGATGACATAATTTCATTCTTCTTTATGACTGAATAATACTCCATTTTGTGTGTGTGTGTGTGTGTGTGTGTGTGTGTGTGTGTGACATTTTTGTTATCTGTTCTCCTGTTAATGGGCACCTAGGCTGATGATATAACTTGACTGTCATGAATAGTGCCATGATAAACATGAGTACCAGGTATCTCTATTGTATTCTGACTTTGGTTCCTAAAAGACTGGTATAGCTGGATCACATGGTAATTCTAATTTTAGTTTTTTGAGGATCCTCCATACTCATTTCCTTCATGGTTGGACTAATTTAGATTCCTGCCAACAGGGAAATGCACATTATTTGTAAAAATTTTATTTGTATTACATTCAACACCTAGAAAAAGATTCTGAAAATACATTTTTCAGTGCCCTGTTATTTAGCTTTCCTTCATACTGAATCACTTTTATACTTATTATAATTGTAATAGTGAAATATTAGGATAGGGTATAATTCTCCGAATGGCATAACTCTCTCATTAACTGGCCCTTTCTATGGCACATTGCTAGGTTTTCAGGCAATTCCCAAAATTAGGAATTTTTGTTCAATCCTTTTTCAGAACTACCTAGTTGCTTTTCATGTTTCTCTACCATGCAGACCTATTTGCACTTCCATTTAAAGGCAGAACAACAGTAAGAATTTCTGACAGCTTTGTCCCCTACCCTGAAGTCACATGTTCAAGAAGGAGGAGTCCTGCTGAGAATATATACCTTACCACTCTGTGGGGAAAGCAGAATTGGCAGTGGCCCTGCAGGAAAAATATGGGAGAGCTGTAGCCCTGGAGAGCAAATGCTTAACCAGCATCCTCTTTACCCAGAGTGGACTCTACAATGGCCAAGAGGTAGGACATCGAGGTAACTTTCCTGGGTGGTAGTAATGTGAGTCCTCAAATAACTCTTGGAAAATAGTAAGACTGGGTTGGAAAGACATCTGTGGAAAGTAAAAAGAACTTAAACCTGCATGGGCTGATTCTGCAGATTTCCTCTCAGAATTCTGAGGATAAATATTGTAAATCTCTGCAAAGAAATCTTCTCTTTTATCTGCATCATTAAAGAGAGATTAAATTTTTTTCTTTTGTACAAAAGGAGAACATGAACCTATTTCTTGATCTGTAATTTCAGATATTTTAACCCAGCATAAACACAAAGGGGAATGTAGATTAAATTAATAACAAAGAATTAAATTATTTTAGTCTTGAAGATTGTGGAGTTCGAAGTTTTTATCCACTTATATATTTCATAATGTGAAATATTTAAAAATTATTTGATGATTTATTTTTGGCAGAACTGGAGTTTGAATTCAGGGTCTCCTGCTTGATAGGAAAGTGAGTCATGCCCACAGCCCTAAAGATTTTTATGAAAAAAGAAGTATTTTTATCCATTCTCAAATTAATCTGTGGGGCTATCATGATAGTGAAAATTATTAAGAAACTAACAGCTAGAAATAGACTTGAATTTTAAAAGAATTTTCCTTTTTGTTTATAGGTACTCTTATCTGAAGTCCTGTTCTACTCAGAACTCATATCTATCAAAATAAATATGTTTTCCTGCTCAAATATAGAACTGTAATGATGTATTACAGCACATTTTAGAGAACTATTTTTCCTTCTATTCAACTAGATCAATAGCAGAACTTAGGCTCAAATTATTGTTTTTGTAGAGCCAATTCTCAGGAAATCATGAAATGAGATGAGGGTATCAATATGGTATGTAGCTGTTATTTTTCAATCAAATGTTTTTCTCTTATATTTGAGCTATGATTGACTTACAAACACCTGCACATATTTAATGTATACAATAAGTTATTGATAAATATATAGCACATGAAACCATCACTGCAATTGTTGTTGTAAACCTACCCATCACCATCAAAAGCTTCTTCTGCCCACTTCATTTGTTACTTTTGTATGTGTGCACTATCATAAGATCTACCTGTCTATCCAAATTTTAAATGTTCAATGTAGCACTGAATGGAAACTTTCTGGATTTATCTTCTTTTGGATGGCAAGTCATCTTTATATGCACAGTGGACTATTGATCACCTGTCCATTTATTATACATGCTGGCAGTTCTGAGATGCCCATGGTTGTCCAGAGGGATATATCTGTATCACACCACTGAACACTGCTGAGCTTATCAGTCCTTCAAGTACAGACTAATGTTTTAAATTACTTTCAGCAAGCTGAAAATATGTTCTTTGTTAATATATAGATCTGACACTTGCTACCAGCACATTCAGGTACTGTTCCAAAATGCCAGTCTAAGTTTTTTATGTAAAATATGCTAGCTAATAAGTATGTGATTCTTCATTATTATTTATATTACGAATTCCCTTTTTAAAAATTGTAGATATAAATGCTGGGGGAACTCTTTAGATGTAATGGACAGAAGAGAAATAAACATCATGTCTGCTTTCTAAAATCTTTTTGATTAGTGTAAAGGAAGGGTGTGAAGCAAACATTTACCTAAATGCTGCATGATTCTGAATTGTTCTCATAATTCTTGTAACTAAATTTTTCAAGCATGCTATCTTGCGAACATTATTCTAAGGCCCTTACTTTATTACGTATTTGGTCTTCATCCCCAATGCTAGGCGTTTCTATTGTCCCCATTTTTATTGATTAAAAAAAAAAACTGAGCTCAGCAGTGGTGTGTGGCTTGTCTGGCAGTGATGAGACATGAACATATGCTCTTAAGCTCCATGTTTTACTGGCTGTAAGAGTTCTCCATACATCATATCAGATATCACACAAAAGGAAAGCATGGGTTCAGCTATCTCTTTTTAAGCAAGCAACATTTTAGAGGTTGTCTAAAGATAAGTAGGAGTTACCCAGAAAAGAAGAGAAAGAGTTGTTTGTAGGGCTTCAGAGAGGAATGAGCTTTGAAATGTAAAACAAGAAACTGTGAGAAAAGGCCAGTAGTGAAACCCGGTAGAGTGATTTGTGAGATAACAATGAGACCTATGCAGGAGCTACAGCATGCAAGTCCATCAAGGTCATCTTTAAAAATTAGAATATTTCTTAAAGCTAATGGAAAGCAGGTGATAAATTTTAAGCACATAGGTGACTTTTAATGAATTTTGTAATAGTGTTAAGGCATAAGACTGGATCCAAGAAATGAAGACTATTGTCAGAATCTTTAAAAAAAAGATCATAGTAATTTGAATTAGGGTAGTTGTGGTGGAAATTTTAAAAGTGAGAGAAGAATCAGCATATTCTTTTGCATTCAAATTTGCCAGTGATAAGAAAGGTTAAGGATGAGACAGATAAAGGGACCAAGATAAAGGCCAGATATCTTACATGACAAAAGGAGATCAAAGTCTATGCACTAAGTTAAAGAAAAAAAAAATAGTTTGTCTCCTTCTGACATTAGCAAAATAGCTTTAATAGATGAATTCACTGGTAAAAAAGGAAAAAAGAATATGTTCACTATATCAAGCAAACTAACTTTATAAATACTCATAAGGTCATGTCATTTTAGAACCATATCACTACCAAACTTTCAGATTTGCCTGTCAGAAAGTTCAAACCCTCAGTAAACATCCAAGGCCACATAGATTTTGTTTTTTAAATCTCATATTAAATTTGTTGACATAAGAGAACCTAAAACAGTTACCTGATTATGTGGCTATTATTTTCACATTTTATCCAATGATTTTTTTCAATTATTAACCTAATTTTTCTCTCTTTATTTACTCTCTTTTTAATTTTATTTCATCAAATCATTGAGATGGTCCACACTGACAAATTATTTCTCATTCTCCCCATCTTCTCTTTTTCCTCTTCACACTTTTCCTCCTCTTTCATCTTCTTCTCTCATCCTACCCCTCCTTCTCATCTCACTCTAGGATATAGACTTTGAATGATGATGGATCAAAACAATTACAGTTCTTTACATGGCTTTATTCTGCTTGGCTTCTCTGACCATCCCAAACTGGAGATGATCTTGTCAGGAATTGTCACCATCTTCTACTGCATTACCTTAGTGGGTAACACAGCTATCATTCTTGCATCTTTCCTGGATTCACACCTACACACACCGATGTACTTTTTCCTCGGGAATTTGTCTTTCCTAGATCTATGTTTCACAACTAGCATCATCCCTCAGATGCTGGTTAACTTGTGGGGACCTGAGAAGACCATAAGCTATGTGGGTTGTGTCATTCAACTCTATGTTTATATGTGGTTGGGCTCCATTGAGTGTCTTCTCTTGGCTGTTATGTCCTATGATCGATTTACAGCTATTTGTAAACCCTTGCATTATCTGGTAATCATGAATCCACATTTATGTCTCAAAATGATTATTATGGTCTGGAGTATTAGTTTTGCCAATTCTGTAGTATTGTGTACACTCACTGTGAATTTGCCTAGATGTGGAAACAACCTTCTGGATCATTTCTTGTGTGAGTTGCCAGCTATGGTGAAGATAGCTTGTGTAGACACTACAGCAGTTGAACTGTCTGTTTTTACTTTAGGCATTGCCTTTGTCCTTACACCCCTCATTCTTATTTTTACATCCTATGGCTACATTGCCAAAGCTGTGCTGAGAATGAAGTCAAAGGCGGGACAACGAAAAGCAATGAACACCTGTGGATCTCATCTCACTGTGGTGTCAATATTCTATGGAGCTATTATCTACTTGTACCTGCAACCAGGTAACAGTGCTTCCAGGGACCAGGGCAAGTTCCTCACCCTCTTCTACACCATCATCACCCCAAGTCTCAACCCCCTCATTTACACCTTAAGGAATAAGGACATGAAGGATGCACTGAAGAAGCTGATGGAAGTTCACAAGGAATCTGCAAAAGTGAGAAGGAACTGGAAGTCATAGAAAATTAATGAGTGAATAAGAAAATGGAATTATGTTGTCTCATTATCTTTCATTTTTACTGAAGCAAGTAACCCTTAGATAAGAGATCAATTAATATAGTAATTCTTATATACAAATAATGTATCTGTAAACAATATGAGAACTCTCATGTCGGTTCTTTTATGCCTTCAATCATTGATATGTAAGGTATATTGGGTCATTAGGAATTTTCATGTTAATGTTATGATTTATAATTTCATGCTTAATGTTATAATTGAACATTAAGGGGCTGTAAACATAAACCTGAATGCATTTAATCAATTCTAAAGCTCCACAGAAACAGCTTTGACTATCTTGTTTTGTATGCTAATGATCATATCTTCTAAAATACAGCCCTAGCTGGTTTTACATATATTTTGTTTTTACATTAAATAACTACATACAAATAATGATTTTGTATATTAAATCTTTTATGATGTCATCCAAACATTTACATATGTTTAATCCAGACAATGTACTTTATAATTGTCATAAGCCCTACCTAAAACAATTCACTCTTTGTTCAGTGAAACTTGGTATCAATATCTTTTGTAAAGAATCTTTATTATTTAATCTTATTACTACTTTATCATGATATGAGGGAGCAAGAATGTACAAATTAGAGTTTTAAAGGTGACCACAATCTTACTTATTTCTCATTCAATCATGAAAAATTTATTCCATGGTTGTCTCAACTTTAATGGAAAGACAATATGACTAATTTGAGGCCAGTTAGACTTTTGACATAGATCTGTGCAATCATGAAATTTGCTTGAATTTTGAGAAACGTAGGAATATTTGTATGTCATGGAATTTCACAAAATAAATGAATCTCTTGATTTCCATTTATCATGGTATGATAGCATCCATGGGAAAATGTAATTTTTAATTAAATTTTGACAAAAAAAAGAAAAAAGAGACGGGTTTAAGTAGTGTAGGAGTGTTCAAAGGAGATCTGTGTAGTATGCAAATTCCCAAAAAAAGGATTAATTGCTTTAATTAAATTTTGATATTTTCTATGATCTGATACTTTTCTCTAAAAGACCCCATTTTAATAACTTTAATAAATCAAGATAGATTTAATAGGATACCTTTCTGAAATCTAAAGGTAATATAACATTTTTTCTCTAACACTTCATAATTCTTGAAATGTAAAGAAGGAGTCAGTGGATAATTACCTACTTTCCCAGGCAGAACAACATAGTAATGACTTATGTAAAATATATTTAATAGAATATAAGATATTGTAGCTATCCTATTCTTCCACATAATACCTCTTTTAGAGCTATCTTCAAAAAAGTTCAACAGCCCCCAAAAATAGTCTACAGAGAGAATCTAAGTTCTGTGGCTCTGATATGTATCTTGCCACTCCACCCACTGCTATTATATTTGGAAAGGTTGTTCTTACATTTGATAAGATTTATAACAAATGATGTTCAGCAGAATATTAAATAATTACTAAATTCAGTAATCTAAATATATTAAAAATGTAATAGTTATGAAGAATACACATTTTATAGCTATAATTGTTTTCCTGAATATTTCTAGCTTTCTTTTTTTTTCTTTGGTATAATCTATTCTGTTTGGGGGTAAAACTTAAACTAATATTTCAAATACTTAATCTCCCTTTTATCTGAATAAATTCATAAACTTAGATTATTATAGCAATGACAATATCTTTTAAATATACTGAATTTCTATAACCATTACTTACATGAGCCAATCAGCCTGTTCTCATTCTTGTTGAATAATACATGGCTTAAAGAGGTAAGTGATAATATAACTTAATCATAAAACTTAAATCCAATTTTCTCTTTAAAGAGAAGTTACTTTTCAGATCAAGATATATCAATACTCATGAGATTTTCCACACATGCCCTAGTCCACCAAATGTACAGATTTTACTCTCACAAGGTCAATATTGTTAAAAGCACAGACTGGCTAAAAGAGAAAGGATGAAACAAACCTTAGACTAGAACCCAGAATGCCAGAATTTGAATCTCAAAGTTATCTTGATTTTAAAAATCATTTAATGGTTCTAGGCCTTAATTTTCTTAAATTTAAAACAGATTGCTAAAATTATTTCCCTTTTTTGTCACCTCTTTCACTTAAAAGTATGGCTTCATTATCTTTATCTCTTCTTTCAGCAGGATTTCCAAAATGGGACATTGCTGGGGTGTCAGGCTCACACTTGAACCCAGAGAAACTGCTAAGTCAATCAAAGAGCAAATCTGACAAAATTAATTTTGTGCTCCCTGATCTCTGTATTATAAATTAAAGATACCATCTTTTTAATCCATTTGGAAAAATTAATACTATATAACATAATTAGAGAATATCTTTCCCCAAACAACCTAACCTTAAGAACTAAATTAATTAGAACTAATTATATGTGCAAAGACTCTCCAGAAAAGTTATGGGTAAGTCTGACTTAGAAGAAATGAAAAGATATGGATGAAGTAGATGGTACTTGGATTGAATTTTAAAAAGTCTTTAAGATCTGAGCCAGACGCCGGTGCCTCGCACTTGTAATACTAGATACTTTGGAGGCTGAAATACTGAGGATCAAGTTTGAGGCCAGCCTGCGCAAAAAATTAGCAACACCCCACCTCAACAAATAGCTGGACACAGTGGGGTACATATGTCATACCAAACTATGCAGGAGGCTGAGATCAGGAAGATCACAGTTCAAGGTCATCCCAAGCAAAAAAAAAATCTGTGAGACCCTCTCTCAATGGAGAAAACCTGGGCATGGTGGTACATACCTATTATCCTAGCAAAGGTGGGAAGGTTAAACAATCAGGCCAGCCTAGGCAAAGAGAGACCCTATCTTCAAAATAAGAAGAGCAAAAAGGGCTAGAGGCGTGGCTCAACTGATAAAGCACCTGCCTTACAAAACTCAAAGCCCTGAGTTTAAACCCCAGTACTGAAAAAAAACATCTATAACATATGAATTTGGCAGAGAAAAAACTCATAAAAGTAGTGTGGCACAGACAAGGAGCAGTCAGGGCAGTTAACAACAAGCATGCATGTAAGTAGAACAAAGACTGTTAGTAAATAGCCTCACAGGATAAAAGAGGGTTTATAAATTATGACCAGATTAAACAATTAATAAACAAGTATATGTGAAACACCTGCTGTGGGAGAGGCACTATGAAGTACCACTTCCTGTGATTGAATCTTAATTTGGTTGACACTGGGAAACTGCTATTTTACTTTAACAAATACCATAAATAAAGGAATATATTTCTCAATTCACCTTCCACTGGTATCATTCACTAGTTTTTCAAATAGCTATAGCTGAAAACAAACACAAATAGAAAAGAATAAATTGATTGCCATTCAATACCAATGAATCTGCACATCATGTGAAACTTGATTTATGTAATTTGACTCTTAAACAAATCGGTGGACTGACATAAGTTTCCAAGTATATCTACCTGTTTGCTTTTGCATGGTGGCTCATGCCTGTAATCTTCAGAAGGCAGCAATCAGGATGATCACAGTTTGAAGCCAGTCTGGGCAAATAGTTCTTGAGACCTTATCTTTTTAAAAACACCCAACACAAAAAAAGGCTGCAGAGTGTTTCAAGTATTAGAGTACCTGAGTTCAAGTCCCAGCTGTGTCCCCTTGAGCAAGATACTTTTCTTCTCTGAACCTGTGTTTCTTATCTGAGATGGACAAAATAGTAATTAAAAATATGAAAAGCTTGAATATGGAATAAAGGATATACATTAGGAAGTCTTCTATGAATAGTAAGTTATTTTTTTCTTTACCAATATTTGTGCTCAAACACATTATGAAAAAAATTAACTTTTTGAACCTGAAAATGTGAGAAATAAATTTTCATAAAGTTTGTATCTTCATCAGAGGCACTTTTATCTTAACATTTTAGAAAAAATGAATTAGTCTACACTGATTTGCTTAGTTACAACTTAGGCTAATAAGTCAATTACATTTAAATTTTTTATTGTTTCACATAAACATATATTATCTCCTCCACTAAGGTTTCTTCTACTCTTTCTATATTAAGGTAGCCTTCATGATACTTGTTGACTTGATGCACTTTAAGATCTCACAAAAACAAAAAACACAAAACACAAAATTAACAGAAATAATAAAAATCCAGCTAGAAATTAATGAAATGGAGACAAAAAGAACAATATAAAGAATCATGAACCAGAATTGGTTCTTTTAAAATATAAAAAGATTGACAAACCAAACTCAAGTGAGAAACTGTGTAGGAACAAGACACAATGAAATGCATTGAAAACTACTGAGCAATACAGGTCAGGGGGAAAAGGATAAGGAAGAGTAATAGGGGGAGGTTAACTGACTAATGTACAATATATTTACAGGTGAAATACCAAGGCTAACCCCCACTAAACAATGAACAGACACTAAAACATGAAAGACAAGAATGCAGTACAGATCATGCTAAAGGGAGGGAAATAGCAGGAGGGGGAGAATAAAGGAGGGTGAATATGGTTGAGGTTTTTTCTATACATGAATGAATATAGAATATTGAAACCTGTCAAAGTCATTTCAAAAAAGGGAGTGGAAGAAGAGGGATTAATGAAGAAGATGAACCAAACCAAGGATCAAAACATATTAAAATGTTCACAATGACACCCATGTGTAATTGTCATGTAGTAATGAGAATTTTTTTTTAAAAATCAAGTGAAAGAAGACCCAAATTTTTTTTTTAAATGATGAAAGAGGGATATTACAACAATAATAAGAGGGGTTTTCATTATGATAATCCCATACATGCATGAGTATACTTTCAATAAGTTCACCTCCCCCATTATATTCTAATTCCATTCCTCCTCCCCCTTTTTCAAAGTGTTTAGTGAGTTTCATTACATTATCTATAGACATGCTATAGATAGACATAGATAAACAGATATAGATATGATGACATAAATATTTAGCATATATATGTGTAGCATGCTTTTCTTTCTCCCTCCCCACTCCTATTG